GACTGAATGTCAAAGTTACGTATGAGCAGCTTTCATCCAGTATAAAGACTGCAAAATGAGGACACGATCTTGGGACTACTTATTACCAAATCTATCGCAACCCCATTTGAAGTTGGTCCTCGTCTGATGTTGTTATCGATGTGAAGGAATGTTTGAAGGATTTCTGTTCAAACCTGAAGCTGCAGAGAGAAAGTGAGATTTAGATTTAAAATATTTCTCCTTGTGCGATTCCTGATGAGACACTTATTTCACACATTTGTAATTAATGTGAGTTTTTTTCACTTCACCAAAGTAAGCACTTTTCTTATTCGTTGTTCTGACAAGGTATGGTAATTTATTTATCTCTAAACCAAAATGTTCAAGGTTTTTTTTTTTTTACTGCACAAGTAAACCAAATTGCCTAACAGTCATGAAATGTGCCTAATTAAATTAGGCAAACACAGGCTGTCGCTCAGTGGTAGGCTGTCGCCCCTCAACCGGAAGGTCGGGGGTTTGTTCCCCAGCTCCTTCAGCCACATGTCCGATGTGTCCTTGGGCAAGACACTTAACCCAAAGTTGATCACACTGCTTTATCGTCGGCATATGAATGTGTGTGAATAGATTAGTTAAGACTGATGGACACTTTACATAGCAACGTCTACCATCAGTGTGTGAATGTGAAGTTGTGACCTGAGGTGTACCATTTACATAATTTCCATAGCAACTAGTTTGAGGTTATTTGCAGTGAAGAAATAAAATTAGCACCTCTCTTTTAATTAATACATGTTCAATCTTTATCTCTAACAGGAAATAAAGGGTCACCTGCTACCATGGCATGAAGTCAAATGATTTTGTGTTTTTATTCTGTTTGGTATCCATTAAAGCAATCTTTACATAAATCACAGTCACTGACTGAGGGTTTGCACTCTTTATATTTCAGGAGTTGCAGATAAAAATACTGAATGATTAATTGTTAACTGACCCTCCACTGAGTTGGTAAAGAAAATAACTTCATTTTAGATTCAGCCTGCAGGAAAAGCTGGTTCTTTGACAACCTGAAAATTCACATCCAAAGGGTTCCTACAGTCATGCGGTGCATCTGGCAACATGTTACTTCATACCCTGTGAGTGTTTTCACACCTTGTGCTGAAGACTAACTTTGGCAACACAAATGAAAACAGGCAAAGCACCACTTTTCTAAAGTGTGCTAATGCTCTGTAGTTATGAAAACAAGATAAGAAAACCGTTCTTTCACTCATCAGTCAGACCCTCTATCTCCCTCTCCATCTCTCAGCAGGCTTACCTCCTTTAACAACAAAAACGCCACCTGTGTTGCTTAAGATTGCATGTTTGCGGCTCCCTGAGAGCATCCTGTTTCGTTAGCTCTCTCTGTAGATGAAAGCAGAGGAGGGAGATGATTATCGTCAACCGTAGAGTTTTATCTGTGAGGGCAGCAGAGTCTCCTCTGGTGGCCCATTTGGATCGTGTCCCTGCTTGATGACACCAGCAGCGAAATTGCCAATAAAACGCAAAAGAATGTGTTAGGGGCCCCAGCAGACGTACAGGCCCAGAATCAGTAGAGAGGTCTATGATGACTGAGCAGAGCTGTTTGTTTGAACGCAAACAGCCACATTTTTCACTTGAACTTCACCCGGAGTTTCTCCTTCCAGTACCCCTAGTATTTTTTTCTGCAGCAAGTCAGAGTGAGAACACAGCAGGATAATATCCGGAGAATTCACCTCCAGCCAATGGGAGGGGGTAGTTACTTTTAAATACTGGGACCAGTACCCAGTGCATAGACTGTATAAACGAGACACGCTACGATCTCTGTGCATGTAATTTAACGGCTGCATTATGTTTTCTGTTCTCCAGTATGTTCTTCTTTGCTCTTTTGTGGATATTGTCATTCCAGTGGACTACACAAAGCGTTGATAAAAAGGCAGATATTCTCATTACAGCGTCGTATAGCGGACTGTTGCTTGGTCCGCTACTTCCTCTTATTTGCATGTCACGTCTTACCTCAGGAGACAGCCATCCCCACTCTGACAGGGATAGTTACCCGCTGTGAGGAGCATGTGTGAACAGCCAGGTCAGGAGAATATCCGGAGCAGTCCTCCTGAAGTTATCTAGATATTTTCAGGAGTGCAGATGTGAAAGCGGCTTTAGACAATGTTTGAGAACAAACTCAAAACAAGACAGGTTTCATACCTTCCTGTATGCAGGCATATCAGTGTGACTGTATTGTTTTCTGCCTCCTCCTATTTGTCTATATGTGTCCTGTGTTAAACTCCACAGCTTGACCTCCAGAGTGTTGTATAAGGTGTCCCTCTGGCTGCTTAAGTATTCTGCAAACACCAGCATGTGTTATTGCTCCGTCTTACAGCAGGAGATTCCATAGATCTGGTCTGGCTATAAAACTGTTCAGCCCTGACAGATTGTGTTGATGAATCAGCGTCAGTGTGCCCCGTGTCGGCAGGGCTCCCTCGTTGATGCCGCTCCTCCTGCCCGCTGTCTGAGAGTTGTAGAAGTTCTTCATTTTCCATTTGTCCCTTCAGACACAATCCTTCAGAGGGAAAATATCACAAAACAAGGAAGTGGACATTTTCAAAATGTCAGGGAATGACAGGTGTAAAACTTTTGCTTTTTAGTGTTTCAGTTATGAAGAGGTGGGACTTCTTTATTCACGTATTGGAGCTGTTGGCAGTTTTGTAACCAGAGGAGGGTCAACCTTTTTTCTTTAACAATTTGCTTGAAGTAGATTTGTCATGCCACATATCTTCCTCAGTTATCTAGTTTATAGTAAGCGTGTTTCATTTGTCAGAGAGCATCACCAGATGTGTTTATCTGCAGCAGTAGCCCGGCAGAGGTTTATGTAAAAAGAGTGTTTTTGTTTTTTTCATCAGTGTGACTGTTTTGAGCTTGTTAACTGTCAAAAAACCCAAAAGGCAGCTTAGCAGTCCATGTCCTGCTGTGTTAGTCTGGTGGACTCGTGTTAAGGCTCCCTGCTCATGCTGTGAGTAATTGGATTTTTTAAAATCCACTTCTATGTGTTGTTTGGACATAAAAGTGACACCTTTGCAAGGCAACATCTTTTTGTGAGTATGTAAAACTCTCTAGAGGTCTCTCTCTCTCTATTTGAGGGAAATTCAGCTGAAGTGAAAAAGCTTGTTTATAAAATCAGTGTTACAGTACATCACTGTATAGCTGATAAAAGGAATGTAAGAATTCAACTTTCATCTCTCTGGTGTCTGGGTGTTGGAGATTCTGAATATGTTATTTGATAGTCAGACAAGTGATAAAACTAAAATGAACAGAAGGCATAAGATTTGTGTTACCGCAATAATTATTCTCAAAGGGATCTCCCTCATTTCTTTATTTTAAAATATTTATTTTTAGGCTTTTTTTTTCTTTATTTGATAGGACAGTGGAGATTGGAGAGTGGGGAATGACATGCGGGAAAGGAGCTGCAGGTTGGATTTGAACCCAGGCCGCCTGCTTGGAGAGGACTATAGCCTCTGTACATGGGTTATAGGCATTTAATACATCTAACTGCTGATTCAGAGAAGGGTTATTTTATTGGGCAGAAGAAGTCACCTGTTTGACAAACTCTGTTCTGTTTCAGGATCAAACATGAGAGAAAAAGTTGGCATGGTGTGAGTCTTATCCCGCCGTAGTTCACTGTCACTCTAGTCAAAGATTGTGTTCCACAGCGAGCGCCGCAATCCGTATAGAAGACTTGTGTAAATCAGTGTACTTCTAGTGACGAACAATACAACAGAAAACTCAAAGTACTCAAAAGGTCTTTTTCGATTCTCTGATATTTAGAATTTTTCAAAATCCAAAATAAAAAACACGAACCAGAATTTACAATTTTAGACACTTTAAATCCATTATTACCCCTCACAGAGCGCCACTATGCTCTGCTCCGTTTCAAATAAGCTGCAAGTCTATTTTCAATGGAGTAAGCTGCAGGCACGCGTCAAGCCCGGACAGAATATGACGACCCGGAGCGGAAGTCAGACAAGGAAACAGACAGAGCGTTTGTCAATTTCAAAATACAATACAATGTACAGAAATAATTTTTTTCTCCTACATTTGATCTGAAATAAATAATGTCTTCAGTGTGCAGGGAGAGAGGAGCTGGGTTCATAGATTTTGTGCGACTTGCTTTTGTACATATTGAATGTGACAGACAGTCTGAATGTAATCAGTTCCACCACTCCTCTACGTTGATTGGATTGCTCAGTGTACAATTGGCAGTGATGATTTTTACCCAAATAAACCTTTTTTAAATCTCAGCAAACAGTATTAATGCATTACTAAATGTGCGGCTCATAGTGAAGGATTCAATCATAGTATGATTTGTCTCTCTTTTAAACAGTTTCCCACTATCCACAGTTATATTTGTAGTTCTGAGCTCACCATGCTCAGTGAGTTCAGCAATAGAATAAAACGTCTTTTATGTCTTTGATTGGCATGATGAGAGAAGAACACAGGATTGTTCTCGGCCTTCGTCTGTCAGTTGACCTCGAGACTTGTGTAATCTAAAAGCGAACACATATCCATATTTTCTCCATCGCTCTGTATGAATAAGACAAATATGATAATAAGAAATCCATCTCTGACTTTGTACTTTGGTGTCTCACTCTGCTCTATCGCTGTGGTTTGACCTCCAAGCTTTTCTTGTAGACATCTCGGTGAAACATTTCATATCGCTGCAGCACAGTTTGAAGGCAGAGTCTGCATATACTAAGCGTGCCAGCCTCCTCCATAAATCTGATGAGCTCTGACACTTTAGTGGCCGTCATTTAGCCATTGTTTGTCTCCTGACATCTCACTCTGTTTCATTCCTCTTCGTCCTGCATTTGTTTTCGTTGTTGGCAGATTTATGCTCGTACCTGTCAGATGTTTGAGAAGAATATTAAACAGGGAAAGTGAAATCCAACAGAGCAGGATAAAACAGGAACGTTAAATAACTCCATCTTTAAGTTAACACACTCTTTCTCTCTTTGTCTCTTTAGGTATTCAAGCTGAAGGCGGTTCAGCTCGCAGAAAAGCTGCTTCCTGCATTTAACACCCCCACAGGAATCCCCTGGGCCATGGTCAACCTGAAGAGGTCAGTGACTCCACTGCTTAGAATCAACCCCTTCATCCAGCTAGCTTGAATATCAAGTGAAATGTGCCATTCAGATTGACTGAGCAGTAGACAGATGGTGCTTGATAACTTTCATGTTTCTCTTAATGATTCTTCTAAAAGATTCTTCCATATGTTAAACAAAGGCACAGCACCACTTGAAACAATGTCATGCTAGCTCCAACCACAAAATTGACATCATACCTCTATTGTGAAAAACTTGATGCTAATTAGAAAGATTGTTCTCAAATGTAGCAGATGCAGAGGAACATTTTCATTAATGTGCATACCAGTATGTGTCTTTGCCACCTGACAACTGTAGGTCAAATATTTACTCTCTTTGGGCACCTGTTGGATTAGTGCTTAGGACGCATTGGTTCTCCAAGCCAGCAGTCCGATCTCAAACTCCTTACCTGCATGTCTTCCTAATTTTTCCCCTTGATCCCTTGGCTTCTTAAATAAAAAGCAAAAAGCCCCAAAGATAAATCTTAAAAAAATAAAAGTAACTTTTTCTTTTAGCTCTGTGTTTGGTCTCAACCAACTCCTGACAAATTTTCTGATTTCATTAGCTGCTAAAGGATCCACCATGTTTCCCATCTATTTGCTGATCTTTTTTCTATGCTTACATCGGCCGATATAATCGGTGAGGCTCTATTCCAAGCTCACTTGAAGTCGACTCAGAGCAGTTTAAACTTGGAGAGCCTCAATCTCTAGCACAACAGCAGCAATACAGAAACACAAAGTCAGGCTCTTCTTCTCAGCAGTGAGAACACAATGAAGTAATTTTTCTGTAAATGCAGGCTTTTAATATTGTGTTTGGTTAGGGCACAGAACATATTATTCAAGCTGCATATCTCAAATTGCCCGAGGTGCACAATAAAATGCCCACACAGCGACCGTGTGCCCACTCAGGTGTTCACCTGACTGTGTGGACGTGTACACACTGCGCTGTGAGGGCAGGACACTTCACACTTTCATCATTCTCATTATTGCATCATTTGTGACCTCAGGCTGTTCAACATGTTCCTGCAGTTAGACCTGAGGAGGAGTCTCGTCACTTTCTGAAATGGGAATATCTTTGTCATTTACTTCTACAGCTGCTGTTGTTGTTGTCCTGATTTTAACGACATGTGAAGAGGGTGTGTTCTCGTCGTGACTACCTCCATCCGTCACTGCTCTTTACTTTCAATACACGTTTTCATTGAATCAGTGAAATTAAATAAAACTGCTACATGAACCTGCAGGGAACTTGGTTGCTAACCTCCAGCTGGCTCGTTGTGTGTATGTGTGTGTGTGTGTGTGTGTGTGTGTTTGCAGGTTATTAGGATTTGTGCTTTACTAGTGAAGGCCTTCTGCTTCTCAAGGTTGCTCTAATTTGCCTGTGGGCAGATGCTTTGTGGATTTTATTAATCTCCCTCCTTACCAGCACACTGCGGATAATTTTCCGCTACATGTGTTTATACGGACCCAGATTCATCTGAATAATTGGAAAACACACATGTTCAATACATCTCTCTCGTTTTTTTCCTGCTTGATCAGAAACAAAGGCGCCCTGTTAACACACATGATGTCTCCTCACACACAGGTATAATCGTACAAGATTTCCCCTCGTGACGTTAAATACACTCCTGTGTGATAGAAGCAGTCAGAGATGCAATCTGGGTCACATGCGGTCATGTGTAAATGTCATTTAGACCCACTGTGAAAATGTAGGATTGAAGAGCTTCACAAGTATCACAATTACTGGAAATTTCAGGAAATTACCTTTGCATATTAAAGCATGTTCATGGTTTTGTTACATGCAAATCCTACTTTTGTTCTATTCCTTATTTATTTATCGGAAAGTGAACCCAAAACAGCCGCCGATGACTTAAAGCACTTGTGTTTCTGCACCAACGCTGAAAAAAGTCTACTAATAGGTTTTGACAGCCAAACATCTCAAACACTGACAGTGTTAGACTATCTGTTTAAACCTGTCATTACAGGTTTTCTCTTCATGAGTCCAGTGTTTACTTTGACCCTGCTTTTATGTTGCTGTGAAGAATTAGAGTACAATGTTTACTTCCTTTTGCAACCCAGTCTATTCCTCACTCTCATAACAAATGTTTTCCTCTCTCCTCTTGTTTCTCTCTCTTTCTCTGTCCTCCCCCTTGTTCCAGTGGTGTTGGACGTAACTGGGGGTGGGCGTCGGCGGGCAGCAGCATCCTGGCTGAGTTTGGGACTTTGCACATGGAATTTGTTCATCTCACCTACCTGACGGGAAACCCTGCTTACTACCAGAAGGTCAGTGTTTGTGTCAAGTGTCATTAAAGGAGCAATATGACACCTAGTGTTTAAAATGGGTACTGCAGTCTAAATTTAAAACATTGCAGAGAGCTGTCTCCCCCCGCCCCCTTCTCTCTAGAGTTGATGTGCAGGTTGCCATGTGGTGGACACTGAAGCTTCAGTGTTTTGCCAGCTCTGCATCGGTCTGTAAACCTTTCTGCGTTCTAACCTCTCGCCATTTTTCTAAAGCATCTCCAATATTGATCCTAGTTTGAGCACGTTTCTGCTCGTGGAGCTTATTAGAAACATGCTGAGCCTTTTTAGTTTGGGTACAATCACTACTTCAGATAAACCGACGGGCGTCCAAAACGGCCGTGTGAGGGGGTCGCCTTAAAACCACCTACCTTCTCTGGTCCAAACAAATCCAGAGCATTCAGGACAGAATCTAAAGTTAGAAGGAGGACATACTGGCTGCTGCATTGTCGTCAGAGAAGCCAGCACTTCAACATAGCATGTTTCCTTAATGTCTGATCATATAGGAAGGTTATTTTATCATTTAATTCAGTAGATATCTTACTGATTTGTCCTGCTGTCCCTCTCAGGTGATGCACATCCGGAAGCTGCTGGCCAAAATGGACCGACCCAACGGGCTCTACCCGAACTACCTGAATCCTCGAACAGGCCGCTGGGGCCAACGTGAGTACACATTTTGGTTTAGATTAGGAAGAAGAAGAAAAATACCAGATTTGTGTATAAATATTTTAGTTTTAAATAAATCTTAAGAAGCACATTTTGTCATATTGTATTACAAAAGCTGTATGTAAAGACAAATTGTGATTGAAATACCTCAATTTTCAATGCTATGGAAAGAGCAGCGTTTATAAGAAAGAAACAACATTTTAAGAATATCTTCAACAAAAGGAATGAAAAAACTCCCCTTCAGTTTCTGGGAAGGCGTATTTGTTTGCAGCTTTACATCGGAAGAACCAGACTGCATCACTGGTTTACAAGCAGCCTATCGGGAAAAGTCTCAAACTTTCCTTTTGAGCCGGAGACGATCATGTGCTGTGAAGAGAAACAGGAGGCATCATCACTAAGTGAGAGGCTAAGGGATCAGAATGGATCTTCTTTAATGAGAACAAATTGAAGCTGGTAGAGGAAGACGGAGGAAGGGGAACACAGTATTCCCAGTTTATTGACTGGGTTTTGGCCGTGTGCCTGGGGAAATTAACAGCTCACAGAGTCAAGTTAAATGTGCAGTGACACCCAATTCCTGCCCTAAAAAACGTTCATTTTCCTCTTAGTCATTTATGACACACATGTAATTAAAGCTGGTGGTTGGCTACACACCTGCAATTATTCAGTGAGACACGGGATAAACACGCTGAGGTAATACCCACAATAATGTGGTGGAAAACAGAACCAGTGAAATAATGTTTACAGTTTTATGTTAAATGGCAGCTTAATGTTCTCCTAGATCTCCTTAGCCCTCATGTACACTTTAAACGGATAGTTCGGTATTTTTGAAGTGGGGTTGAATTGGACTCGACTCGGGTCTTTTCTGTCTTTATTTGGGTCTTGACTCAAGACTTGGGACCAGAGACCAGAGACTTGAGACGTACTCACAAAACTCTGACTTTTCTGACTTCTGGTTTTAGCCAGTCAGATGCCGGTCAGCTCGGCCCCTTTAGTGAGAAACAGGTCAGTGCAGCGTAGAGGTAGCTGCTATACATCACTGCAGACGTGCTGTTTGTACCAATCAATTGTGTCTCCAGTGTACAGTACAGTGTTTCAGTACTTTACCATCAGCAATCCACTTTGTTTTACCACTACTTCAGCACACAACAAACAGTTTCTCCCTGCTTCTATGGCAAACAGAAGAAGCTGACTTCCCCCCCTCTTACTTTGCTGAGTTTACCTCCCGCCTGGAGTCACTTCTTCTGATTCATCATCCAAATATTTATTCTGAATAATCTACATTTCCTCTCATGAATGCGCTCTGAATGTTTGTGCTCCCCCTGACACTATTTGAGGACATTTCAAGTTATCATCGCAGTGTCCTCAAGGGATCATTAAATATTCCTTGGTGTTTATTCTTCAACATTTCAGGAGGGAGAGTTTAAAAACCTGAGAAGGCGTTCAGCAGAGATTTAGATTCTGGATGACAGATATGTAAAGGATCCCAGTTTGTTATCTGAAAATATCCAACAGAATATTAAAACGTTGTGGATATTAAAATATTCCTTTTTGTGTAGTGTGCCTTGGAAATATTTTCTTTTAAACTGACTTGCTGTATTCCCCCCATCAATCAGATATGGCTTTCTGCTCAGTTTACTCTTTGCTTCACTGAAAGGAAATGAAAAGATGGGATCTGTTTCAAATTGAATATATTTCGATATTTTCAGTGTCTAGAAGAAAGAGCTACCTAAGAGTGTGCTATACTCACAGACACTACGGCGAAAATACTATATAGGAAAACAACAACAAAATGCACAAAGAAGAAAAAACTAAAGGCATTCAACGAAGCAAAATATAGATTTTTAACCAACTTCTGTGGTCTAGCAGGACAAGATCTCTGTTTTATTTGTTTTACTTGTCGACAAAACAAATGGAGGGCACTCGTGGATGGCTGGATAAATGGAGAGGCTCGTTAATGGATTGCGAAGTGGTTTGGCAGGCAGACGGATGTGCTTAGAAGTGCACAGACTTTGGGCCGAAAAGCAGGGGAAAATAAATGGATGGAAGATGGAGGGAGGGAGGGCAGATTGATTGATGGACGAATGAGTACATTAACAGATGGATGGTTAGCCGGCGAGATGCACGATTGGGCAGGTGATGACGGATGTTTTGTTTCTCTGTTTGCGTGCGAGTCAGGAGGGATGTTCTCTTATTATATATGGGAGTCAGAAGACCTTTTCAGACGTCTTATTTAGGAAAAAAAGTGCCTTAACTAAGCTCAGCCGTCATCACGTCTTTGTAGATTTATATTGATTCCTGTAAAAATATCCAAAATGTCTTTGTTGGGGGCGCGCTGGTGGCGCAGTGGCAGGGCGCGCGTCCCACGTGTTGAGACCCGGTAGGCCCGGGTTCGCTTCCACCCGTGGCCCCCTTCCGCATGTCATTCTCCGCTCTCTCTCCCTGGTTTCCAACTCTATCCACTGCCCTCTCTCTGAATTAAAGGCACGGAAAAGCCCAAAATAAATCTTTAAAAAAAAAAAAAAAATGTCTTTTTAGCTGCTTCATGTGTTTCTATCAGAGTGAGTTCATGGTGTCTCTGTGCACAATCCACCTTCCATACCTCTTGATCTACTTGCATGTTAATGTGTTCCTGTGTTGGTATATGAAGCCCAGACTCATTAATTAGCTGCCACTTCGCCTTGTTGCCTTTACCAGAACAGCTCAATATAGCAAAGCATCGCTGCTTTAATTAAAGCCTATAGCTCCTTAAAAAAAAACAACCCGACCTGCTGTAGTGCCCCCTGAGTAATGCTTGAAGAGGCTGAATGTTACACACACAAGAAGGGAGGGGGGGAGAGGAATGTAATTAATGTGAAAATCCAGGGGGCTCACTGCGAAAATGCCCTTGAATGTCCATAAATTCCCACGAAATAACAAGTTATGAAGCAGAAGTGCCACTGTGGATTAGAATTTAATGATTTTTTACAACACTTTATGTCTACACTCATCTGCCAGTTTATTCATTGAGCTTTGAAGTAACTATGTCCAGTCATGTTTTATTTTGATATATGTTTTATTACGAGGTCCATGACTATTGGCCATGTTTCTCTAACTCTAATTTGAGTCCCTAGTCTGTCTACAAACACCCCAATGATGAGGTAAAGTCCATCCTCTCGGTCTTTAGCCTGCTCCACTTTTCAGAAAATGTGTGCTCAAACAGGCCGTTTGGAGATTTTCCCTTCATGACATCACAAAGGGCAGTAACCCCTCCCCCAGGTGGGTGACACTCCCACAGCTAGGTGTTTGTTCTGCCCTCTGAGTCTGCCTTCTCACTGTAAAAAATAGGACATGGAGCAAGAAAGCCCAAGCCGCACAAGCCCTTCCAGAGAGGGGGTGTGGTCAGACACAGCTCATTTACATTTAAAGGTACAGACACAGAAGCAGCCTGTTCTGAGCAGGGCTGAAATAGAGGGGTTTATAGACATGATCAAATACAGGATCAGAGTGGATTTAGAACAAGAAACTTCACACACATGTTTTGAGGAGCTCTGAGAATTTAAACTTGTGTGAAAAGAAAGATGGAAGGAAAGGAAGATGTGACCTTGAAGATTAGTCTGTTTTTCTGTTTTCCTTGATTTGTTGAGGGTTACTTTCAAGCATAATTGTTACATTGACTTTGTCATTATACCTTTCTGAAATCATCACTGAACATATAATAAAGTCAAACAAAGTGCTCGCTTCACTATATGTAAGAACGTATTATGATACCGTAGCTTTTTGTCCACAACTTGAAAAGAAGCATATATTCTTTTTCACCACACTGTCTAAGCTTTCGACCTCTGGCTCAGCATTTCCCATGGCAGCAGTCTGATGGACTGATTTGACAGCCGGGAAAGAGACATTCTGCCGGCCTCTGTGATTTTCTTCTGTCTGGAGCCTGTATGTATACTGTAGTGGAGAAACATTGCTGCAAGATGTATTTCATCCTTTTTAAAGAGCCCCATGTACCATTAGTGATAAAAAATAAAAATAAAAACATCCCTCCCTTTACAACTTTCAACACTTGCAGGACCCATTTGATTTCACTCAAAAAGTGGAGCCTAGTTAACGAAGCTGGCTAACTTTAGCTCTGACTCTTTTTCTTTTTGTTCATTTTATTTCAACACCAACTTCTTTAAAGGTCTAACACATGGATGGGAAGTGAAATCATTTGTCAGTTGAAGCCTCTGGCACTTTGCTCGTATCAGTTCATAGTACATTATTTGCTTGTTTGTTCATTTCCTCAGCCAGCGTCCAAACAGTTACCTTAATTAACGACTATATTTAGTGTAAAATTAATGCTAAAAGAGATGGAATTTTACTCAGATAGTTCAGAAGATTTTGAATCTTTCAATATGTAGATTCTGCTGCCAGGGGGCTCTCAATCAATACTACAATAACAAAAGACGACATGGAGGCTGGCGGGAAATCATGAGAGTTCTCTCTGTTCTCGCTGTCTGCCTCGTGGCGTCCACTCTACTCAAAGTGCGCCCCCAACTCCTCCGCAGGTGCAGCTAATGAGGGCTACCGGTCAGAGCCACCACACCCCGCCTCAGGTGTGACATCAGTACTGACCCCGCTTCTCAGCCTACCACCCACAGCTAACACATAAAGACACTGAAGTGAATCCCCTCAAACATTATCATAACATCCATGCAAATTAAACACAAAACATTACAGATCACAAAATGTACAAAACGAAAGACAACATCAGAAACGAAAACATAAACACAAGTAAAACCAAACGGAGAAACATGCTATTTCAATTCATGGAGATGGTTGCCATGACTCCTCCTGCAGCAGTGTAAACACAAACGTTTGATTTCATTTGAAATGTAAACCGTCAGAACATATTGATTATGTTGTGGGAGTAATATTACGATATATCGGACAAATTGGAACTGGTTCTGGATTCTCGTCCTCACTTCCTCACTGTGAGGGCGTTATATGAATTTGTAGGTCAAGTCGTGGCGAGGGCC